TGCATGGGAGCTAATAGGGGTGCACCGAAATTCCGGTGGCCAAAAACTTTTCGGCCGAAAACACCCCTTTCAGCTGAAATGAAAAAAGCACCGATACAGGTGCCGAAAAACCCCACCCCTCAAAGCCGCCCATCTGCCATCGCTCATCCGCTGTCGCCCGCCTGCTGGCTGCCACTTAATAATTCAGTCTTACATGAGAAACCATCAATCCTGGCGTTGGGCGTAGAGATGAGAGAAGGAAAGATGGCTGCCACACATCTCTATGCCCTCGGAGGACTGGAGCGCTGTCACTTCCGGTTCCGGCCATTTTTTTTTTTTTTTAAAGCACTAGATCAGTGGGTTTTTTTTTTCTAATTGACCCCATGTCTCTCCATAAAGATCACCTGTCACTAATTATTTCTATCACAAGGGATACATGGATTTCTTGTGATAAGAATAAAAGTGATTCATTTTTTTTTAAAAGGAACAGTGCAAAAAAAACAAAACAAAACATTAAATACATTTTTTACCCTCGTCCCCCCGTGCTCACAGATAGTGGTGAACGCATACATAGGTCAACCCCAGAGTGTTTTAGTTCCCACATCTAATCTAAATCTGCTGTAGGACATTAGATAATTGCAGTAAAATGAGAGTATATATGTTACTTGTACACAGACGTTACATTTACATGCTGTAATTAATGTAACTCTTTTAAAGTATTGAGCAGTCCTTTAGTTCTACATTGGTAATCGCTACTGTTTTATCTAACGAAAAAAAAAAAAACAAAACAAGGAGATCTAAGCAGGATGAAAGCAAAATGCAAGTCCATTCTCTAAAGTTGGCCATAGAAGTGTAGAGTGGGGAGGATCATTCCCTATTCTGACTGATTTTGAGCAGATTGGGTGACAATTTCTTGTCTGGAGGTACATGTAAGCTATACCAACCAAGAGGTCATGGGGGGGGGGGGGGGGGAAATATACTGGGTGCACAATTATTAGGCAAGTTGTATTTTTGAGGATTAATTTCATTATTGAACAACTACATTGCTCTCGGTCAATCCAAAATGTTAATAAACCTCAAACCTGATTATTTAAGAAAGTAAAAGTGAGGTTTTGGCTTTCTTAGGAGAATATCTATGTTTGCAGAATTATTATGCAATATCATGGTCTTCTTGAAAGATTCAGACTTTTTCCTGTACCACTGCTTAACCCCCCTGGCGGTATTCCTGAGTGTAGCTCGGGGTAAAGTTTCAGCACCACAAGCGGTAACCCCCCCCGAGCTACACTCGGGAATACACTGCAGCGTTGCTCCGGGATCTCTTCTACACTTACCTTGTCCTGCGCTCCCGCGATGTCCCCCCTGCAGTGTCCCCGACAATGTCCTCCGGCCGATGCCAGCATCCATCTTCCGGGTTCCGTTCCCTGCGAGCGCCGGGACGTACGGGGGACGGAACTGGCGGGAAATTCAGAAATTTCAAAAGTGACATTCACTCAATACACTAAAATCACATAGTATAACATTCCTGTATCAAACCATTTCACATACATTTTGTCCCGAGTGCTTTGTCCGGCGCCCTGCCTGCATTTTTACTGTTCTTTCTGCCTGGAAACTGAGAAACGTCCATGGCGTCCAAAAAGCGTCCCTTTAGGTCAAAAGCGGTTTTAGACCGGCTAGAGAACAGCGATAGTAAATCAGAACCACTTGCAGAATTGAGTGATAATGATTCGTGGGGGAAATTCCTCATCAGACACTGAAAACGATTTTGCTACTGAGCTCAGCGAAGTGCGAACTTGGCGCTCTATTTCAATTTCAGTGTTTTTGGTTTGATTACATTATTGAATTAAATTTTTATTATTATTACTTTTTATGATTATTTATTATATTATAATTTATGATTTCGGATTTCAAATTTTATCATACCCGGGATGTTTACTAGACTCTTGTTCGGACAGATTTCAGTGAGTTATTCCTAAGAATTACAGACCTACAATAAAAAAACGACATATTTCCATGCAAAAAAAAAATGTACCGCTTTGAGCACAGAAATATGGAGATAATAAGACCGCTAGGTAGGTTAAAGAAAGTATCTTCGAAAAACTGGTAGTAGGTTTGGGAGTTGATTTTGAGTCCAACTTCAACCCGAAAAAGTCCAGCTAGCTTATTTTTAATAATACCAGCCCATACCAGTACCTCCACCTTGCTGGTGTCTGAGTCGAAGTGGAGCTCTGTGCTCAGTACTGATTCACCCACGGGCCCTTCCATCTGGTCTATCAAGAGTCACTCTCATCTCATCAGTCTATAAAACCTTTGAAAAATCTGTCTTCAGGTATTTCTTGGCCAAGTCATGACGTTTCAACTTATGTGGCTTGTTCAGTGGTGGTCGGGTTTCAGCCTTTCCTTACATTGTCCATGTCTCTGAACCCTGAACACCTTGTACTTCTGAGCCCTCCAGGTAGGTTGCAGTTCTGGAATATGGCAACACTGGAGGATAATGGGTTCCTGGCAGTTTCACGTTTGATTCTTCTGAAAACTTTGGCAGTTAATTTGCGTCTTTTTTTCTCAACATGCTTCTTGTGACCCTGTTGACTATTTGCAGCAAAATTTTGATGGTTCTGTGATCACGTCCCAATATCTTAGCAATTTCAAGAGTTCTGCATCCCTCTGAAAGACTTTTTTACAATTTTTGACTATTCAGAGTCAGTTTAATCTTTTTTTGGCCCATTTTGTCTGAGGAAAAGAAGCTGCCTAATAATTATGCACACCTTGATATAGAGCATTGATCTCCTTAGGCCTCATTACCTCATTACACATCAGCTGATATTCTTAAATCCAATATGCATTTAAGTTTATATAGCTTGGAGTTGGAAAATATGAATAAAAATTATGATTTGGTCAAAATACTTACTTGCCTAAGAATTGAACACACATTATATTGACTAGATAGGGTTGAAAGCATTGTTCTGAAGAGGTCAGCTAAGGCTGAAGGTGTCAGGATTTTCCTGGTGCATATGCTTCAACTAAGGTCTATACCAGTCTTTCTTAACCTTTTCAACACAGAAGAACCCTTGTAATAATTTTCCAGTCTCAGGGAACCCCTGCTAAAATGACTATGTCTACAATGATACATTAGTGTGATGGTCAGTGGGAAGAATGCTCCTCACACTTGTCATTGGGAAGAATTACCCCCTTACAGATAGCTAAAAAGATTAATGGTCGAAGTGGGAACTTATCTGAGAGGAAGAAATTGCTCATTGCTCCAGGAACTCCTAGCAACCTCTGGAGGAACCCTGGTTGTGAAACCCTGCTTTATATGGTTGGTTTTCGATTGTGCTCAGTTGTAGGTGAATGCTTCAGCAAGCTGTCAAGGTCCTACCTTTTCCCTGAGGTTATGTTACTCCATGTGCTGGCGTCCATCTTGGATTTCTGCTGTGCATGGTGGGAATCCTTTTATGCCTTCAGGTCTCTGAGGTCCATCCCCCAGAGGGGTGTGGCTGATGACATATAAGCCTGTGGCCCGCACATGCTCTTTGCACTTGTGTCTTGTGTCTTTGTGTTGCTATTACTCTGTTCTGACTCTCGTGACTCTCCTGGTATCTGATTCGGCTTGTTACTTGACTATTCTTTGTATTCTCCTTTGATCTGACCCTCTGTTGCTGAACCCGGCTCGTGACTTGTGATTCTCGTCTGCTGTCCTGTACTGTTTTGGCCTGTTGTTGACCCGGCCTGTCTGACTACTCTTTTGTCTCTTCCACCAGCTACACGCCATTGGCGGCGGCCATTACCGCAGCTGAGGTGTCTCGGGGGCCGCGACCTGGTTCCTGGCTGCGTCAAGTCCATCCCCACCATCAGGGGCCCTGGTGAAGGGCAGCCTGGGACTTAGACTCCGCGCCCTGAGGGACTTCGGTCTGTGGGTGGTGGTTGTCGTCAGCCAGTGCGTTACATTGTTAGGCCTGCCTGTCCGTTTTTCGGCCCCTGCCCTGACACAAGCAAAGTATGGCTAAACCCAAAAACTAAAATTTTGTATCTTGTAGTTTACCAGTCTTAGTCTTCTTGTAGATTTTTTTTCATCCTAAGTACATTTTCATCAAGTACAAAAAAATCCCTGTTGATCCCACCTCCTGTCTTATCCTCCACTCTTCCTCTCCCCCGCCACAAAAAAATTTAATTTTTTCCCCCAAAGAGCTGGTCTGTTGATATTGCAGGTCCTCTACTCCTCCTCCAGTGGTGGTGATAAGTCCTTACTTCTGCACTAAATGGAGCACATTCAGTGGCGCAATTTAGTCATTTTCTAAACCTGGATTGTCAGGCTGCTCAATTTTCCATCTACTTTCCGGTACATCAAATTCACTTCTAATAAAAATACAAATATAATTTTCAACTTATTTTTAGAATTTTTTTCAAACTATACTAATTTCCCTGCATCTCTGTGTTATTTTTAGGGTGTTCTGTGATGGAATGCACAAAGCTCCCCACAAATAGCCATTGAGGAAGAGAAAAGGTAAGCCGAATGTTTCTTTATATGTGGGACTTCGCCTCAAAGTGTTTCTTGAGTTGTAGCTTTGGATGGGGTGGAGAAGGGTTGGAATTCGATTTAGGTTTTGCTTATGCTGTCTGATAATTCTTCTCACTGTTGCTTATGGAGGGTTCTTTCTACTACCTGTCATTCGAGACCTATTCAAGTAAATGGGGCCACTCTGCAAGTGTCCCATAACTGCATGCTTCTGTAGGTAGGTGCTACACCCACCAACCATGAGAGGGTGTAAGAGCCGGAACTACAGAGGAGACATCAACTTATGCGGTTCTTGCTCCCTACTACAGCTCCAACTTTACAAGTAGTCCCTCTGCACTGCACTCTGTATGACGCTCTGGGATGGCGGGTCAGCAAGCCCAGATTGCGATCTACCAGTCACCTGGCCGAGCTCAACTGGGTGCTGGCCCCCGTTCTAAGTCCTCCTGCACACGGGACGTTTTTACAGCGGCTGTTTTTGGCTTTTGACATTTTTTTCTACAGCCAGTAAACCCCCCAGCATGTTATCCTATGTGTCCATCCCCAGCATGTTATCCTATGTATCCATCCCCAGCATGTTATCCTATGTGTCCATCCCCGGCATGTTATCCTATGTGTCCATCCCCGGCATGTTATCCTATGTGTGTCCATCCCCGGCATGTTATCCTATGTGTGTCCATCCCCGGCATGTTATCCTATGTGTCCATCCCCGGCATGTTATCCTATGTGTGTCCATCCCCGGCTCCTATGTGTCCATCCCCGGCGTGTTATCCTATGTGTGTCCATCTCCCGGCATGTTATCCTATGTGTGTCCATCCCTGGCATGTTATCCTATGTGTCCATCCTATGTGTTATCCTATGTGTCCATCTCCGGCATGTTATCCTATGTGTCCATCCCCGGCATGTTATCCTATGTGTGTCCATCCCGGCATGTTATCCTATGTGTCCATCCCCAGCGTGTTATCCTATGTGTCCATCCCCGGCATGTTATCCTATGTGTGTCCATCCCCGGCGTGTTATCCTATGTGTCCATCCCCGGCGTGTTATCCTATGTGTCCATCCCTGGCATGTTATCCTATGTGTCCATCCCTGGCATGTTATCCTATGTGTCCATCCCTGGCATGTTATCCTATGTGTCCATCCCTGGCATGTTATCCTATGTGTCCATCCCTGGCGTGTTATCCTATGTGTCCATCCCCGCGTGTGTTATCCTATGTGTCCATCCCCCGGCGTGTTATCCTATGTGTCCATCCCCCGGCGTGTTATCCTATGTGTCCATCCCCGCGTGTTATCCTATGTGTCCATCCCCGGCGTGTTATCCTATGTGTCCATCCCCGGCATGTTATCCTATGTGTCCATCCCCGGCGTGTTATCCTATGTGTCCATCCCCGGCGTGTTATCCTACGTGTCCATCCCCGGCGTGTTATCCTACGTGTCCATCCCCGGCGTGTTATCCTACGTGTCCATCCCTGGCGTGTTATCCTACGTATCCATCCCCGGCATGTTATCCTACGTGTCCATCCCCGGCATGTTATCCTACGTGTCCATCCCCGGCATGTTATCCTATGTGTCCATCCCCGGCGTGTTATCCTACGTATCCATCCCCGGCATGTTATCCTACGTATCCATCCCCGGCATGTTATCCTATGTGTCCATCCCCGGCATGTTATCCTATGTGTCCATGCACACATAGACTGGAATCAATGTTTTTTGGCTGGAAAAAAACCCCCAGGACTAGTGGGATTCTAGAGGAGTTTTTTTAGCTGTAAAAACGCTCTAATGCTGAAAAATTTGACAAAACGCCGCAAACCGTATTTGAACATTTTTTTGACCCCCCCCCCAAAAAAAAACACACTAAAAACCGCAAATGCGTAAAAACGTGAGGAAACGCAGCTAAATGCGACAGAACGCTAATGCAAAAATGCTAAAAAAAACGCTGAAATACTCTACACAGCTACCGTTAACAGCGTTATCAAAACGCCCAGTCTTCATGGAGCCAGTATTGTGTTTAGGTTTCGTTCTGGCCTAGGCAACAAAAAAATCACCCTCCCCCCATGGAGAGACCCTGACATTGACCAACACCCCTGACATTAACCAACAAACACCCCACCCCAGTCCCCCCACCCGAGAGAGTCTTCCACTACCACTGCCCCCCATACACTGGCACCCCCCCCCACCCCGGCAAGAGATAGACACTCACCTTCACAGATCTGGACATCCCCGAGAACAAGAGTCAGGCTCTGCATACACCATCAAGCAGCCTCTCTCAGATCCCACCTGGTGCCCGTGGTGCATGTGTCCTTTCTTCCATCCCTTCATTCGGGGGGCTGCGCTGCCCCCCTGAAAAATGCTGCTGCCCCCTGAAAAATGCTGCTGCCCCCTGAAAAATGCCGCCGTAGGCAAATGCCTTGTTTGCCTTGTGGTAAATACTCCCCTGCATGGAGCCTAATGCAGGCCATAGACGGTTTGTTTATCGGCCAATTTTTTGTCCAAAAAACAAAACATCGTTCGTTCTGTAAACCAATGTTGCCAACAATGATTGCAAAAATCTGCAGTTTTTTCATAAATTTTCCAGCATGATCGATAAACGAAATAAGGATGAACCGCGAAAATCGGCCGATGCCATTGCCCCACTAACAGTGTGAAAATCGGCGGATTGTTCTTTCAGACGAAAAATTGGCTGATAAACGAACCGTCTATGGCCTGCATTACTCTTCCCCAATGTATCCAAAAAAAAAAAAGAAAACATTTTCCTGTGGTGCCAATTACACACCAATAATAAGATTAAATATTTTATTTATGAATCGTTTTTTATTTCAATTGCATAAAAGAACTACAGACTACATATACTTTTCTATGAGCAGTGCTAACTACAAAACATTGTTTTTTTTTCTTTTACTTTTTCGCTTCCCACCTCACAGAAGGTTAAAAATAACTTCCCATCAACCTTGCCAATTTGTAATCAAAAACTTGTAGCCGATTTTGGAGTTTTGTCAGATATTGTTCGTTGGAGTGAATGACCCTACAAGGTGGTGTCGGTGATAAGATTGATTTTTGAGTTGTGCTTCCAAAATGAATGCCTACCATGACTTCTTCTACAGCGCAGGCATCACAAAATAAAAAGCAGACAACAAAATTGGATAACTTTTCTTTTTTTTTTTTTTTTTTAAATTGGGGGATCATTAAAAATTGGAAATTCATTTTAATACTATTATATGTTTTTTTATATAGTGTTTCAAATGGGTTATGGGTTTGATTCCCAACCATGGCGCCTCCTGCATGGAGTTTGCATGGTCTCTCTGTGCCTGTGTGGGTTTCCTCTGGGTACTCCAGTTTCCTCTCACACTTCAAAGACATGCTGGTAGGTTAATTGGCTCCTGTCTAAATTGTCCTAGTTTCATCCCTGGCCATGTGGGATCTCCTGCATGGTGGGGGTTGGTGAAAGAGGAATGATAATAACAGAGTGCAGCGCTAAGAGATACGTGCAAAAAGCAAATAGTCCGTAGTTGTTAACTGGATATAAATATATAGTCCCAAGAAATAACTGATGAAGACCAGGAAGCAATGGAAAGAGTGCGCACTCACCGGATGCGCATAGAAAATGAGCATAAATGGATGTCTCCTGGAATCCTAAAGTAGATGGAAAGGGTGAATTCCAATCTTTGGATCAATCAGCCTGGGAAGATGTATCAGAGATCCGGAGGTCCCCTTAAGGTTGGTATGATTATCAGCCAGACTCCAAGAACTCCGTCCCTCTGGTGGTAATAGATGAGCACTACAGGGATCCTGCAAATGGATTTAGCTCCAATGGGAACCAAAAAACAGGTGCCCATAGTGTAGTATTTAAAATGGATTTATTGAATAAAATGACAAGCAGGGTAGTAAGGCTGTGTACAGTACATAAATGAAAGCAGAGTACGCAGCAATGATACTGACCCTGGATTAAAATGGCCGCGGGGCTGTCTCGTGGCTCCGGGCAGAAGATGACGTCATGCTCTGTCGGTTCCTCCTAAGGCCTTTCGTACTGGTTGGCTAATATACAAACGACAATATAGTCAAGGCACATCATAAAGAACAGCTGGGTCAACACCGCGCTGAGTAACAGTCCACAATAGGGAGTATAGACATCCAAAAGGACTTTCGAGGACTTGCCTCTTCCTCAGAGCCACTGGCAACCTACCCTGTAAAATAATTGCTAAGAGAATTCATGAAAAAAGTCGAGTGACGGTCCATGTAATCGCCAAGGGTCAGATATGACTGAATAGATAGATAGATGATAGATAGATAGATGATAGATAGATGATAGATAGATAGATAGATAGATAGATGATAGATATGATAGATGATAGATAGATGGATGGATAGAGAGAGAGATAGAGAGAGAGAGAGAGAGAGAGAATGGATGGAAAGATATAATAATAGAGAGAGGGGGGGGGTGGATGAGAGAGAGAGTGGATATAATAGATAGAGAGAGAGAGGGTGGATATGAGATAGATAGAGAGAGAGAGAGAGAGAGGATGGATAGATAATAGATAGAGAGATAAGAGAGATAGGGAGGGAGAGAGAGAGAGGATGGATATAATAGAGAGAGAGAGAGGGAGAGAGAGAGAGAGAGATGGAGGATGGGGGGGGGTGGATATAATAGAGAGAGAGAGAGAGGGGGGGGGGGGGGGGTGGATGGATATAAGAGAGAGAGAGAGAGAGGGAGGGGGTGGATGGATATAATAGAGAGAGAGAGAGAGAGAGAGAGAGAGAGGGAGGGGATGGATGGATATGAGAGAGGGAGAGAGAGAGAGAGAGAGAGAGAGAGAGAGAGAGAGGCAGGGGATGGATGGGATATAATAGAGAGAGAGAGAGAGAGGGAGGGGATGGATGGATATAATAGAGAGAGAGAGAGGATGGATGGATATAATAGAGAGAGAGAGAGAGGATGGATGGATATGAGAGAGAGAGAGAGAGAGAGAGGGAGGGGATGGATATAATAGAGAGAGAGGATGGGTGGATATAATAGAGAGAGAGGATGGATGGATATAATAGAGAGAGAGAGAGAGGATGGATGGATATAATAGAGAGAGAGAGGATGGATGGATATAATAGAGAGAGAGAGAGAGAGGATGGATATAATAGAGAGAGAGAGAATAGATGGATAGATAGATACCGTATATACTCGAGTATAAGCCGAGTTTTTCAGCACATTTTTTGTGCTGAAAAACGGCCCCCTCGGCTTATACTCGAGTCAACGTCAGGGAGCACTTTTTAGGGGAGTGGCGCGGTGCTGCCGCCGTCCCCCCCCTTCCAACGGAAGGGACACCAAGTACAGGGGTTGGCAGAGGGCTGCAGTCTCTTACCTGGCTCCGACGATCCATCCAGGAAGCGCTGCTCCTTCAATCACTCCGGCCACGCCCTCACTCCTGCCGCTCGGCTCCGCCTCGTCACCGGTGATTGGCCGCCAGAACTGTAGCTCAGGAAAGGCACACAGGCGGCCAATCACGGACGAGGAGGCGGAGCCGAGCGGACCCGCGAAAATCGAGTGAGGGTAAGTGTGCAGTGCAGAGGTGCTGCTGCAACCACATATGCTGGCTGCAGCAGTACCGTACTAGAACAGGAGTCAGCAAGTGTCATTGGTGTCAGTGGGAGGAATAGTGCCCCATCATTGGTGTCACTGATACTAATGATGGGGCATTATTCCTCCCACTGACACCAACGATGGGGCACTATTCCTCTCCCCACTGACACCAACGATGGGGCACTATTCCTCTCCCCACTGACGGAGTACTATTCCTCCCACTGACACCAATGTTGGGACGCTATTCCTCCCACTGACACCAATGATGGGGCACTATTCCTCCCACTGACACCAATGTTGGGGGCGCTATTCCTCCCACTGACACCAATGATGGGGCGCTATTCCTCCCACTGACACCAATGATGGGGCGCTATTCCTCCCACTGACACCAATGATGGGGCGCTATTCCTCCCACTGACACCAATGATGGGGCGCTATTCCTCCCACTGACACCAATGATGGGGGCGCTATTCCTTCCACTGACACCAATGATGGGGCCCTATTCCTCCCACTGACACCAATGATGGGGCGCTATTCCTCCCACTGACACCAATGATGGGGCGCTATTCTTCCCACTGATACCAATGATGGGGTGCTATTCCTCCCACTGACACCAATGATGGGGCACGATTCGTTGCTCTGACACCAATGATGGGGCACGATTCCTCCCACTGACACCAATGATGGGGCGCTATTCCTCCCACGGACACCAATGATGGGGTGCTATTCCTGCTAGTAGGTGCCTCATTTCCCACCCTCGGCTTATACTCGAGTCAATAGTTTTTCCCAGTTTTTTGTGGTAAAATTAGGTACCTCGGCTTATATTCGGGTCGGCTTATACTCGAGTATATACGGTAGATAGATAGATGGATAGATAGGATAGATAGACAGATATAGTGTTTC